AGTCGTTTCTGTTTTTAAATTAATAAGATGAATATTTGGAATAATTTTCTTTAGTCAGAACACAACGTTTCATGTTACTGTTGTATGTTGTACTGTATTGTAAAGCGCTCAGAGCCTGTGTACTTTATTCAGGGTTGAGCGCTATATAAATGTCATTTATTATTATCATTATTATGATCAAATTCGGACCTGCCCCCCCCCCCCCCCCATTCTTTAAGTACATGTAAGTGAAAGGCGTCTTTCTCGCATATCGTCACAGCAACCCAACATGTGGCCTCACAGAAAGTGGAGACCCCTGGTTCTGTTTTCTAGAGAAAGTAATTTCCGAATGGAGGGCTAAAGTTTACGTTTAACAAATCAATGAATAACACTTAACTACAGTGGAGTCCACTTATAACGAGTCCGGAAAAAACGAGAAGTCTGTTATAAAGGCACTATTCTAAATCCCCGTTTTTTTCTCCTCTTTACCTTTGTAAATAAAATACTGCTATAGCGCTATCAGACACACTTGCGAGTCGGTTATAGCGAAATATTGCTGCTGCTGTGCACACATGGCATAGGCCAATTATACATAATGCTAGACCTCGCCAGTTGAGAAACTTGTTGCTGATCTTGCAAAACAAAGAATAGGAGAGCCCATGTGCGTCAACAATGAAGACCGGAGCAACTGAGTAGGGAGGGTGTGGCATGCGCAGACAAGCAGAACGCATCGCGTGATAGGCCAGTTTAGATTATCAAGACCTGCCATACCTCTCACTTCTCCGATGCGAGGATGGAGAGGTCACAGCAATGTGATGGATGGAGCGAATGTGTGACGTGCACAAGCAGACAGAATGCACCACAGGGTGTGGTGGGGTGGGGGAAAACACAGCGGGCGAGTTAGCCCAGAGCCCTTTCTTTCTGATCGCCAACGCCGAGCTGTCAGTCCACATCGCTAGATCTAGCGCTAGAGAACCAAACCTGATTCGATTTTTGATCAAGTAAGACCTAGAGGTCATGTTGAAACAAAATCATCATCAGGGGAGATAGCAAAAGGAAAAACAGAACACCAAACTCATAGATTAGGCCTACTTTACAGTTTCCCTTGAATTTATTACTGGATCCCGTATAGCGAGAATCCTGCTATAACGGACATTTTGCTTCGGTCCCCTCCCTCTCGTTATAACAGGATTTCACTGTAGTTATGTTCATGGTGTACTGTGTCAGAGTAGCTGAAGAGGTGGGTGTTGGGTAGATCGGGACGCACAGCATTTACACACACACATACACACACACACATACACACACACACACATACACACACACACACACACACACACACACACACACACACACCCCACACATACACACACACATAAACACACAGACGCACACCCACAGGCACACACACACACACACACACACACACACACACACACACACACACACATCCTATGTAAGGTAAGGTAAGGTAAGGTAAGGTGACGTGATGTAAGCCAAGCCAAGCCAAGCCAAGCCAAGCCAAGCCAAGCCAAGCCAAACCAAATCAAATAAATAAAAAATAAAAATTATACTTTTATTGATCCCAGAAGGGCAATTTGGTTTACAATGGCAAACATTCATATATACATGTATACATACATAAATACATAATTATGAATATATGCATGCATAAATACATGCACAGGTATATATACATAAATACAAATCAGTACAGAACAATTTACAACCATACGTCGCTACTGTGCAGCGCCCTGTATTTTGAGCTTGGATTGTCGTGTTTTGCTCAAGGACACACCCCAGTGACCACCCATATAAACCCCGTGTCATCGTCACTTGCTAGACGTCATTTGAGTCTGAACTCACTGCTCACTTAGCCATTGAATATTATTTCAACGTCGCTTTCAGCGGAGATCAGTCATACACTACATCTCTCCATAATGTTTGTGGTATGACAAGATCTACATGTCATTCCATTTCAAAAAGCCATGAATAAGATCGAAAGAAGCTCCTTCAGATTCTTGAAGGGACTGAACCAGAAGCATCCGAAAACGATGTGTGCGTCTTAATCAAAGCACATAAAATGTAGATCAATCCATAATGCCAATCAGAGCTCAAAGTTCTGCTAACTTCAGATAATTCAGAGTTCATAATAGAATCCTGTTCTCACTGCTCACATAATGCAGAATCATCAGATTTTGTTTTAAGGTGGGAAAAAGAAAGAACATATCAGAAGGAAATGAAACCTGGCACTTTACAGAAAATGAATAAAGTTGTTCAACGAATGTTTAGTTAAACAATTAATTTACGTCTTTATAATAACTAGGCAACATCTAGGAGCAACTTTGACTATCGAGTTAGATAATTAATTTTGACGTATAGGCCTGTCTTTATAATAATATGTGAATGTGGAACAAAGTGAACTTTTCAGTTGAGCAATGGATTTAGGCCTACGTGTGCACCTATATGATATATCTATATTTTGGAGCAATGTGGCATTTTCAATTAAGCAATCAATTTACGCAGGAGCAATGTACACTTTTCAGCTAAACAATTATTTTGCGTAAATATAGTTTATTTAGGAGCAAAGTGGATTTTACAATGTTTTAAACAATTAATTTACATATTACTATTTTTTTCCTTGGAGCAATGTGGATTTTACAATATTCAAACAATTGAATTACATAAATTCATATTTAGGAGCAAGGTAGACTTTTCAATTTTTAAGTATTTAACCTACGTATATGAGCAATGAGAGCTTTTCACTTAAACAACTGATTTACTTATACGTGTTTATATACTTGTATTTAAGAGCAATGTGGACTTTTCAGTTAAAATTTGATTTACTCCTAAAGTCTGTTCTTTTACTTAGTAAATGAAAAACATATCTACCTTGAAAAGAAGTGGAAATATCTGCGATTGAATTTGGCGGGGTTGCCTGGTGTCAGAGGTAAAATTAGCGAGAAAACGGCAGTCAAAAGTTTCGGGATTTCCAAAGCTGAAGCGTCACTGGAAACTACAAATTTACATTTTCTGTGCCTTTGATCAATGTTTTTTTTCTCCAGTAAAATTCAAGCAGGAATGTGTTGCTAAATGAACATAGAAGGTGTTGAGCCCAAAACAACAAAAACAACAACAAATCAATGAAAATTTCCCAACCCACGCAAAATTTGTCGGTGTTCTTTGATTTTTGTATTTTTGACAGCGCCTATTTACACCACGTTTCAACACAATTACCTAATCTAGGTATATATATATA